TCACACCCAAGGTCTGCTGATATCCCTTTTAATACTCTGATCCCTATCCAGACAAAACCCCTCCTTCGTACCCCTTTGCGTGGATTTCTGTTTGTTTTTTTCCGTGTGTGCCTAGTTGCTCAGCAATGTCCAACTCTTTGCAACCCTTTGTAGCCTGCCAGGCTCCTCTGTCCTTGGGATTTTTCAGGCAAGAACACTAGAGTGGGTTGCTCTTTCCTTCTCCAGGGAACCTTGCTGACCCAGGGATTGAACCTGCATCTCCTGTGTTTCCTGCATTGCAGGCAGATTCTTTACCCACTGAGCCATATTGTTCCCCTTTAGCCTAACAGAATTGAACAAAACTTAAAACAAAACAAACAAACAAACAAAAAAATACTTTAATGCTAGTAGAGTACAAAAGGCAAATAAGCAAAGTGGATAATTATGATTAAAACCATCTGACTTACAAAATAGCCTTACCATCTGTTAATTAAACGTTTATCAGTCATGTACTATGGGAAGAAGTTATTAACTATAAGACATTTCTGTTAAAAGGAGGATAGAAAAAGAAAGGCTCCTAACGCAAATGTGCATGTCTTCAGAAGGAAGGATGCACAGGAAATTGCTAATAGTGTTTGCTTCTGTGAAAGGGCATATGGGACAGGTGTGGGCCAAGTTAATAAACATTATGGGTGCCTCAATCATATACAGTTTACCCAAATGCATTTGGAAAACTGACTTTTTCTCCAGGGATATCTCTGATTGATATAAATATGGTTCCATTTTCTTGACAGTAACCTGTTATATGTGACCCAATTTTGTCTGGTGAAATGAGAGGATAGTATTGCTGCAAGCTTCTGGAATTATGCTTTTTCACTCTTAAGAGAGATTAACACAGTGCTTCCCTGGTGGTTCAGCCAGCCAAGGATCTGCCTGTTAATGCTGGAGACCGGGGTTTGATTCCTGGGTCAGGAAGATCCCCTGGAGAAGGCAATGGCAACCTAATCTAGTATTCTAACCTGGGGAATTCCACAGACAGAGGAGCCTGGCAGGCTATAGTCCATGGGTTGCAAAGAGCTGGACATGACTGAGCGACAATCGCTTTCACTTTTCATCAGCTTTTCTCTTCTGCTTGACACAAACAAGGGAGAATGAAGCCAACTGTTTCCATTTTACAACTATGCAAGAAATCAGCCTCAGCCTGAAGCCCATGAACTAGAGAGCAAAGTAGAAAGACAGGAAAAATCTGGTCCTTGATGATACTGTTAAGCTGCTAACTCAACTAACTCTTGAAGCCTATCTCACATTTCTTTGATAAATGAACTAATACATTTCCCTGTCATTTAAGCCAGTTTTGGTCAAGTGTCAAGTTTCTGCTACATGTAGCTGAAAACAATTGATGGAGATGGAGACTGTTTCCCTTCTATATACTTTCTATCTTTTCCTTTTTAAATCATGTGCATGCACATCTATTTTAAAAGATTGTAAGACTTTACTGTGTTCCAGGCATTGAGAAATAAAGAGTATTCGAGTGCCCTTTAATCTTAAAATCTCTTTAAGAGATTTGCTTCTTTCTCCTCAGTGAGGTCAACCATCCCAACTCCTCTACAAGGAAGATATGGATTTACACTTCACAGAGTTAATACAGGTTGGACTATATGAAGCTGACATTTTTGTAGATCAGGATGGTCAAATATTGGCAATTTTACAGAATAAATCACTAAACACAGTGTTCACGAAGAAGAAATTACAGATAAGTTACACACATTACTAGGTTCATCAGACTCCCATGCTAATGCCCTGAATAAGCTTGGGCATTAATCAACTTTCCCTTAGGCTTTCCCCAGTTGCTGGCTATTTTCATCATTTCTACCCCTAGATAACAGAGAATTGATGGCAAAAGACCAGATCAATACACATTCATGCTGTCTACTTTTTTTTTTTTAATTTTCTAGTGTCTGTCATTCCCTCTAGCTGCTATTCCATGGTTTCTACTGACAGAGAAAACCAAATCTTCCCAGCAGGAGTGCCCTGAAAAAGTGAAATTGAAAGTCACTCAGTTGTGTCTGGCTCTTTGACCCTATGGACCATACAGCCCATGGAATTCTCCAGGCCAGAATACTGGAGTGGGTAGCTGTTCCCTTCTCCAGAGGATCTTCACAACCTGAATCCAGGTCTCCTGCATTGCAGGCAGATTCTTTACCAGCTGAGCTACAAGGGAAGCCCAGGAATGCCCTATCCCCGCTAATATACAAATTGGCACATGTATCTATAGATCACAGCATCAGTTTTCCTTTCCGAAGATGCTGGTCCCAGACCCTGCCCTGTCAATGGTCTGATGGTGAAGGAGAAAGTAAAAGAAACAAAAAGATACTAATATATCATGACATAGAGTATTGGTTAGCTATTGCTGCATAAAAAATTACCCAAAATGTAGTGACTTAAAACAATAAACACTGATTATCTCACAGTCTCTGCAGGTCAGGAAGTCAGAAGCAGCATATCTGGGTGGTTCTGCCTCAGGGTCTCTCATGACATTACAGTCATGGTGTTGTTGGTTGGGGCTGCAGTCATCTGAAGCCTTGGCAAGGGCAAAAAGGCTGCTCCCAAGGCAGCTCACTCAGATACCTGGCAAGTTGGCACTGGTTGTTGGTGAAATGATGCGGTTCTTTCCCATGTAGATGTCACCATAGGGCTGATTGAATATCCTTGTAACATGGTAGCTGACTTTCCCCAAATAAGTATCCAAAACAGAGAAATGAACCAAGTGGAAGTTATGAGGTAGACAGTTAGGAAAGTCACACACACACTCTGCAACATCCCATTTGTTATCAAGTTATCTCTATTCAATATAGGAGGTGACCACACAGGGGTTACCAAGAGGCAAGAATTGTAGGGACTATCTTGGTGGCTGATGTAGCTGTAATTGTCTCCATTTCACAGATGAGAAAACTGATGCTTGTAGGGTCTATAGATATGTCAAAGTCACACATTTCATAAGAATTTGGTAGACACTGATGGGAAGCAATGCAGGCTAACTTTCAAGCCCAAGCACTGATTTCTTTTTTTTTTTTTCCAAGCACTGGTTTCTATGTCATCCTGCCCCTGACATACTATTCCAGAACAACTTCACATTGCTTTGTCACTGTTAAATTAGTGTTTAATTATTTTGTAACTTTTCAGTTTTCTTATAAGCATATACATATGTTAGACCTTAAGTGAACAGTTACTTACATATACATCCAATAAAGTAACTTTTAAAAGTAAAAGGATTAACACCCTTATTACAAAGTTTTGGCATGGCTATTATGCATGCCCAATTGATATTCTAGTTTCAGTAGCAAATTATATTAATAATTGCTATTATTATTAAGGGAACTGGAAGAGTGATTGGACAAGAATTAGACTGACCCTCACGGAGAGGATTGAGGAGGAAAAAGAAGCTAAGTCCATCAATTCTTTTTAGGGTTAATCCAAAACTGAGTCTGATCACCTCTGTTTTTCTCTGATCCTTATTATCATCAGCCTTCCCTATCAGATAAAACAGATTAAACAGAACGTGACTGAATTTAAATGTGTAATCAATCCTCTGGTTCTATGCAATGACAAAATTTATATTTGTGTTTCAATTGAAAACTTTTTTTTTTTACTTTTAATTTTTGTTTAGATAAATTACATATGTGTATACATACAATTTATTTATAAGAATCTTTAATAATCTAACCTCTCAGAGAAAAGCACATTACTATGCTGTTATGTTTTCTCCTAAAACAGTGAATTTTTTAAAAAATTGAAGTATAGTTGATTTACAATGTTATGCCAGTCTTTGCTGTATAGCAGAGCAACTCATCGCTTGCCAACAAAGATCCGTCTAGTCAAAGCTCTGATTTTTCCAGTAGTCACATGTGGATGTGAGAGCTGGACTATAAAGAAAGCTGAGCACCAAAGAATTGATGCTTTTGAACTCTGTTGTTGGAGAAGACTCTTGAGAGTCCCTTGGACTGCTAGGAGATCCAACCAGTCCACCCTAAAGGAAATCAGTCCTGAATATTCATTGGAAGTACTGATACTAAAGCTGAAACTCCAATACTCTGGCCATCTAATGCAAAGAACTGACTCATTGGAAAAGACCCTGATGCTGGGAAAGATTGAAGGCAGGAGGAGAAGGGGACGACAGAGGATGAGAGGGTTGGATGGCATCACCCACTCAATGAACATGAGTTTGAGTAAGCTCCAGGAGTTGGTGATGGACAAGGAAGCCTGGAGTGCTGCAGTCCAATGCAAAGAGTCAGACATGACTGAGTGACTGAACTGACTGAAAGCGACTCAGTGATATACATACAGACATTCTTTTTTTGTCCTCTTTCCATTATGGTTTATCACAGGATATGGAATATAGCTCCTTATGCCATACACTAGGACCTTGTTGTTTATCCTTCTATATGAAATAGTTTGTGTCTACCAACACCAAACTCCCAGTACATCCCTCTCCCTCCCCCTCCCCTTGGCAACAGCAAGTCTATTCTCTATGTCTAAGAGTCTGTTTCTGTTTTGCAAATAGGTTCACTGTGCCATATTTTAGATTCCACATATAAGTGATATCATGTATTTGTCTTTCTCTTTCTGACTTACTTCACTTAGTATGATAATCTCTAGTTGCATTAAAACAGTGAATATCTTTATATAAAAAAGGTGATGCTAAAAATAGTACTTTATCCTTTTTTTTCTACTTGACATCTTTATATTGTTGAAGATTCAAGAACATTACTTTTATAATAGTCCCTTGATTATTTCTGATTGCAGAGGTACTATGACCTCTGCAAAAAACTTGGAAATTTCTGAAAAATACAAAAACAAGGATCACTCACAATCCTACCATTCGGATAGCCATTGTCAGTATTTCTGTATATTCACTTCTAGATTTTTTTCTACAAATATTTACATATATAGATAAATATAGTGCTAAGCCGTGTCCGACTCTTGTGATCCCATGAACTGCAGCCTGCCAGGCTCCTCTGTCCATGGAATTCTCCAGGCAAGAATACTGGAGTGGGTTGCCATTTTATATAGATAAATATATATTTGTAAAAACAAAAGGGGTATTTTGTTTTATAGTCACCTTTTCATTTAAAAGTATATCAGAACAGCTTTCCATATTAATGCATACAAGCCCTCATTACATTTTTGACGAGCACAACTACCCATTGATATCTAGATTATACCTATATTTCATTTTTATAAATAAGCCTGTGGTCAATAATCTAGCACATAGATCTTTCACTACTCCTTTAGTTATTTCCTTAGAATATATTCCAAGTGGTGATGCCGATGAATTTTGCAGGGACTTGGGAAAACCCCTCATCTTTAGCCACCTCCCTCTGCCTTCAGTGCTTCGAAATGACTCCCTCTACATTTCAGGAGTGGTGCAGAAATATCCCTGGTGCTTCTGGGCGTTGCAAGACCCTGTGCTCCAGAGGAAGCCCAGGGGCAGGGAAGGAAATAGAGGCAGGCAGAAGTGGGCAGCTGACTGGTGTGAGCATTGCCCCTCCAGCTGCAGTGAGCTGAGAGGCTCTGGAGCATGGCCTCAGCAGTGTCTGCTGGAGTGCTGCTAGCCTGGTTTCACGTTATGTTTCTGTTTTTAAGTTTTTGGCTACCTCCCTCGGCATGTGAGACCTTAGTTACCTGACCAGGGATCGAATTCCCATCCCCTGCATTGAAAGGTGGAGTCTTAACCACTGGACTGCCAGGGAAGTCCCTAACCTGGTTTTAAAGTTAAATAAACTGAAATTCAGGAAGGTTACCTGCCCAAAGTTACATTTCAAGTGAGCGCAGAACTGGGGATCCATTCAGTGCGATTACAATCCCATACTTGTTGCTCTTGCTAAATCACGTTAATGTTGTAGGTACACTCTGGAGATTTTGGATTAATCCCAGCAATTTGGAGCTAAGAAATACATTAGACATTTTTGAGTCCATAGCCCAGGATGAGAACTCAGGAGTCAGGAAGGCTTATTAGCCTCTGAGTCTGAGATTATAGAGCTGGATGGTTTCAGAGTAGGATCAACTCCAGACTGCCATACACTCCTCCTTCCACAACAGTGCACAGCCCTGCTCTGTAAATATATTTAACTCATTAAGAAAATTAAAAGATACATATCTACTTTTGTTTCAAATCTAATACACATTTGAGAGTTAAAATGACTGAATGGCCTCATTTCTTTCAAGTAGTATCAGGAGCCCTGTGTCTAATGAAATCTTAAAAATTATTCCACATTTGATTATTCCTCTTCTTGCTGCCTCATACTTACTCCTAGGAAGTCATTTCCCAAATAAAAGTGTTATGGCTGAAATTAAATTAGCAATTAAAAATAAATGAACAACTTGCTATAGTCTCTAGGAGCCACTTTGTATGAACTAAAGTGTTATTCATTTAGCAAACTAAAAATTGCCTGCGTAATTTTATGCACATTCACCATTTCCTCAGGTGCTATGAACAGGGACTTCTGTAGTTTTAAAATATGAGGAAAGTAATCTAAGATGTTTTCTCTAGTGCAAAAGCAATCTATAAAGACCCATCATAAGACTGTAATGGCCATCATTTAAAATGGGGGGGAAAATGTCATTAGACCATCTTTATCATTTGATGAACTAAATGAAAGAAACACAGTGGGATTTCCCTGGTGGTCCAGTGGTTAAGAGTCCACTTGGCAACGCAGGGGACACGAGTTCAATCCCTGGTCTGGGAAGATTGCATGCCACGGAGCATTGAAGCCCGTGTACCACAACTACTGGGCCCATGTGCCCTGGAGTTCGTGCTCCACAACAAAAGAAGCCACCACAAAGAGAGGCCTGAATACTGCAACTGGAGAGTATCTCCTGCTCACCACACGAGAGAAAGCCTGCAGGCAGCACTGAAGACCCAGTGCAGCCAAAAATTAACTATTTTTTTTAAAAAAGGAAGCACAGCAATTCTTATCTAAAATTACACTAAAATTAGACACATTGCTTGTATCTAGGGGAAAACAAATCTTTTATTAAAATTTATCTTGAAAATTAATGCCATATGTGGGGATTCTGATTTAACGTGAAGTCACACAACACGATTCCCCATAAGGAATCCACACACACTGACTAGTTATTTTCTTTATTATTTTTGCAGTTTTTAAAAATCCTCATATTATTTTTATTCATTTTATAAGTATTTAGTATATGCTCTGCAACATGAATTGTTTTGAGGCTTCCTCCTCCTTTTCCCTGACCCAGTGCCACAAAGAGCAGGATGTAACATCCTTCATTCTTATCTTATTGGAGTGATGTAATTTTTTCATAGTGGGCTTTTTCCTGTCCCTGTATGCATGTGCGCTCAGTCACTTCACTCGTGTCCGACTCTTTGTGACCCCATGGACTGTAGCCTGCCAGGCTCTTCTGTCCATGGGATTCTCCAGGCAAGAATATTGGAATGGGTTGCCATTTCCTCCTCCAGGGGATCTTCCCGACCCAGGAATTGAACCCATATCTCTTCTGTCATCTCTCTTATCTCTATGGCAGGTAGGTTCTTTACCACTAGCACCACCGGGGATGTCCCTGTATAGTCTTGAGTATTTCTACCATCTTATATGTGAATTTCCAGGAATGTCCTTCTTCCTATGTAGGAGAAGAGGGAACGAAAAAAGAAGACCCAACAGGAGAGGATTCTTTTTTCAAAAGAATCAATGTAGTAAAAATATTTAAAGAAATATAATATGTTACATTTATACATATTTGGAGAGCAGCAGCATCTTTGTTTCAAGATCCAGGGAGATTTTTCCCCTGATGGAAATACATAATACGTAATCATATGGCTAAAAAAGAGCCTCTCATTTCTTTTTTTTTTTCTTTTTTTTTTTCCTTTTATTTTTATTAGTTGGAGGCTAATTACTTTACATCATTGCAGTAGTTTTTGTCATACATTGAAATGAATTAGCCATGGATTTACATGTATTCCCCATCCCGGTCCCCCCTCCCACCTCCCTCTCCACCCGATCCCTCTGGGTCTTCCCAGTGCACCAGGCCCGAGCACTTGTCTCATGCACCCAACCTGGGCTGGTGATCTGTTTCACCCTAGATAATATACATGTTTCAATGCTGTTCTCTTGAAACATCCCACCCTCGCCTTCTCCCAGAGTCCACAAGTCTGTTCTATACATCGGAGTCTCTTTTTCTGTTTTGCATATAGGGTTATTGTTACCATCTTTCTAAATTCCATATATATGTGTTAGTATACTGTAATGGTCTTTATCTTTCTGGCTTACTTCACTCTGTATAATGGGCTCCAGTTTCATCCATCTCATTAGAACTGATTCAAATGAATTCTTTTTAATGGCTGAGTAATATTCCATGGTGTATATGTACCACAGCTTCCTCATCCATTCGTCTGCTGATGGGCATCTAGGTTGCTTCCATGTCCTGGCTATTATAAACAGTGCTGCGATGAACATTGGGGTGCACGTGTCTCTTTCAGATCTGGTTTCCTCGGTGTGTATGCCCAGAAGTGGGATTGCTGGGTCATATGGCAGTTCTGTTTCCAGCTTTTTAAGAAATCTCCACACTGTTTTCCATAGTGAGAGCCTCTCATTTCATCTTTTCACCTTCAGACAGGCATATCCCTAAGTCATTTGGGATAGACTGGCTTCATTATCTGTGAAAAGGTTGGTAAGAAGAGACAGTGTCTTTTGAAAAGTACACTTAGTAAACATTTGTATTGGAAAGTACAATTCAACTCTAAAAATGTTAACAGTTTTATCTCTCACTTTGAGAAGAGCCTCAAAGTAACACAGTCGCTACTTTCTATCTGTTGTCAAGATTCTGTACCAAGTACTGTTCTGCAGTGTTCTCAGACTTCATAGATAATGTCCCGTTCAACAAATGCTCCCTTCCCCAGAGCTCTCCAGCAAATCTTCAACACCAAATGCATGTCCAACAATTCCATTCAAATCTGACACTACACAGACACCACAGATTAAGGGCTCAGTCCCCAAAGACTGCCCCCACTTCAGACTCTAGCTCTAAATTCAGGGGGTCATCTGCACTTATAAGCCAGCTCAACTACTAATTTGGGTGCTTCTATGACCCCTCTGCAAGTTTGACAATTGGATCAAATGACTCATAGCTTAACTTAAGTTTCATAACTTAGGAAAGCACTATACTTAGAATTAATATTTTATTATAAAGGATACAACTCAGAAGTAGCCAAATGGAAGAGACACATAAGGCAAGGTCTGGAATGAAGGAAGCCTGGGGAGCTTGTGCCAGGCTCCTTGTACATTGATATACTCACCAATCAGGAAACTCTCTGAATCTCCTTAGAGTTTCTGTCAAGGTTTTATTACAGAGGCATTATTGGTTAAATCATTGGTCATATGGTTGGACTCAATCTCCCCATACCATTAGCAGTCACTCCTCATTCTCCGCTCCCCCCAACCACCAGTAATCTACTTTTTGTCTCTATGGATTTGCCCATACTGCCCATGACATATAAATGGAAACATACAGTACATGGCTGTGATTGGCTTCTTTCACTTAGCACAGTACTCTCAACTTTCATCTATGTTGTAGCACATTATCAGTAATCCATTCCTTTTTATTGCCAAATAATATTCCATTGTATAGATATACCACATTTTATTTATCCATTGATCAGTTGATGGACATGGGCTGTTTCTACTTTTTGACTACTGTGAATAATGCTGCTATGAACTTTCACATACAAGCTTTTATGTGAAATGTGTTTTTATTTCTCTTGGATATATACCCAGGAATAGAGTTGCTGTGTCATATGGTATTTCTATATTCAGTCTTTTGAAGAGATACAAGATTGTAACAAGAACACCATTTTACATTCCCACTGGTGGGGTACGAAGGACACTAGATCTTGTATCTCCCTCCACCCATGAAGAAATTAAAACTCTTGCCCTAGGTCCAATTTTTTAAAACCTGGGAAGAGATTTTATTTGGCCTGGCCTGGGCCAGATGCTGACCTGTTTTCTCATCTCTGTTGTTAGAAAAGGGTCATGTAAAAGTATGGTTATCCAGCTTATGGCCATGGGAAGGAGTGTTTCCCTGGAAAGGGATATACTGCTATATAGAAGGCCTGGACAAGGACTTCCCCAGTGGTCCAGTGACTAAGACTCTCTGCTCCCAATGCAGGGGGCCCACATTCAATCCCTGGTCAGGGAACTATATCCCATATGCTGCAATTGAGACCCAGCACAAAAAAATTAATAAATACTTTTTTTTTTAATGCCTGCACAGAAACCTAAGATATAAGAATAGTGCTATCCTGTAAGGGGAACTGTTACTGTGTGGGAGCATTGGGTTGATACAATGACTGGGAAGATGCCTCTGACATTTCGGTGGCATCTGGGGCCTGGAAGCATAAATCCCCTGAAACATACAAAATAGCCTCACTCAGTAAAGAGCTGTCCTGCCCAAAGGCCAATAATGTTCCAGTTGATCACCTCAGTTCTGTAATAACAAACTCATCCTTTTCTTAGTTGGGACCATGCCTACTCAAAATAAAATTTAATTTGCCAGCCTGCCTTTGTAACTAGATGTGGCCATGTGATCAAGTTCT